ACTGGATTATATCTTTACCTGTGAAGGAAATAACCTGGACTAACTGGATTATATCTTTACCTGTGAAGGAAATAACCTGGACTAACTGGATTATATCTTTACATGTGAAGGAAATAACTTGGACTAACTGATCAAATGGCAAAATTAACAGCTGCAGCAATGCTTGACCTAACTTTTCAAAACAGGATAATTTTTGTCGTTTTTGTTAATTAAGGAGATTAATATTTTGTGACGTTTTAATTTCTTTTATATTTTTCGTTTGAGCTTTCGAATCTGACTTAGATGGATGAAGTCTTACCAAAGAGTTTAAAAAAATGTAACATTTAGTATTCATTTAAACATTCAACAGGTTTTAACTCCGAAACACTAGTATAAATTCCATAGTACTAGAAATAGCATATATTTCTTAGCTTAGCACTGACATATTGGTCACTTACGATCTGAGAAGACACTTTATCTGCAATAGCCTGTCATGACAGAGAAGATCATACAATAAAATGGGGTGGGGGTTCGAAAATAAAATGATATCGTATGAACAGCACATGAACATATTGCTTTATATATCTTCCTAACTGATAACACACTCAGTCAACCTAACATAGAAGTCAGAAAAAGTTAGATATCACTTAATTACTCCTCTTGGAAGTGTTCAAGGAATAAGTTAATTCAAGTTGTAATATCGTATCAATAAATAGAACACCAGGCTTTATAACAAGTAGATTCAAATTCAAATCCCGGCAACTACCACCCCAAACATGGTCTTTCTCTTAGTACTCATGTTTGACCCAGACATCATTTCTTATAATCTAACTTAAACCTTTGTAACAGTGACTCTTTAAATTTTGTATGTGTGTGTATTATTACGTTGAATATTATTGTGTATGACGTTATAAGATGACGAAGATTTCGGAGACAATGCTTAGCAACATGTGACATTCACTTCAATTGTTTCTTACGTCACAGATACCGAAAGTCTAAATTGCCAGTATTGGTTCATATTCCTGTTGAATATGATAAATTATAACTGCTCTCATCAATTATTTATTTAAAAAAGTTATAATTACCTCCACAATTGATAGAGATTATTTTTGTAGTTGAAAATGATTCTACTTTGTAAAATACTTCTCATTTCTTAGTAGTATGAAAAGTAATTTCACCCAATTGTTTAGTCAGTTATTTACGTTTAGTTCTATAACAGGAAAAACATACATTACTCAATATAATGTATTATGTGGACCCCGCCGGTAAACATACATTACTCAATATGATGTACTATGTGGACCCCGCCGGTAAACATACATTACTCAATATAATGTATTATGTGGACCCCGCCGGTAAACATACATTACCCAATATGATGTACTATGTGGACCCCGCCGGTAGTGATCATTACTCAATATAATGTATTATGTGGACCCCGCCGGTAAACATACATTACTCAATATGATGTATTATGTGGACCCCGCCGGTAAACATACATTACTCAATATGATGTATTATGTGGACCCTGCCGGTAGTGATCGATATATAAGCAAATGGGTAATTTGAAGGTTAAACTGTCCGTGTAAAATACACAAGGGTCCCCATAAGTAATCAGTTGGATTAATTGCAATATTGATGGTATTTTTGTTTACATTTTCAATATGACATATTTATTATAAAACCCCTCTAACCAACAAAGCAACTTGGGGTATAAATAGTTTTGAAAACTTTATTTAAATAGGTTTCATGAGCTTTATCGGTAAATCGAGTATTAAACTTTCAGTGTTATATTTTTTTTCCTTAATAAAAATAATTATCAGTAGTTCTTGATATAAACTTACAATTGTTCCATTGACAATTAAAACGTGATAGATTTCACTTGCAAGAATGATTTTTACCAAAACGTTTTTTAATGTTAATAAATAGTAGTTTATAAACTTACTTCTTATGGACCAGCTTTTGAGTCTTTTAATACCAAATATCAGCTTCAGTAGACTGGACATGCACTGGTCAGTTATTTTCATTTCTCCGCTTCTGCGTACGAGATCAGGTAGAATACTGCGATATAGAGAGGTTATTAGCTCTTTGCTGTTTTTTTCGGCTTGCAACCATAATTCAGGGATAGATTTTGTTGGCATAATATTCGTTGTGTTTTCATAGGTTACTGAATTTTTGACAAAACTGATTGTTTCTGTTGATCTCTGTACTGTTGACTCTGTGGATTCTCTCGTAGAAAATAATTCAGTCGAATCTGCTGACGATTCTGGGATGAGAGTCTGAGACTGTGACACTTCAAAAGTTTTAGCCGTAGAGTTAATTTCAAAAAAATGCTTTCTTTGACTACCTATCTTAATTGCATTCGCAAAATATTCCCATCTGCTTACATAACAAAAGAACAAACAGAGGAAAAAATACTTAAAACTAGCCACACTCATCTTTTCAGCCAGAAATGGTATGAAAACTTCACAATTAATCCTGTTCAACGAAAAGTAAAGACTTTACGTCCGACGAATGTAGGTAGTAATTCATTAATTCGGTGTAGAGTTCGGCATTGAACATTAGAAACGAGGAAAATCTGTGTCAGCAAAGCTTTCCTTTTTTCTCCACGAGTTTGTTATGCCAACGTTTTTGAGAATACCGGTTCCTAATTGGGTAGAAGCTTAGATGGGGAATGTTTTACACGATGTCGTAATTTTTCCAGGCTTTGGAGACTTATGAAGTGTTTTATAATTTTTGACTGTAGATTTTTAACCATTTCGAGGCCAGAAAGGAAATTCAGATATTTTATAGTCAAGTCTGAACAAATTCTTTATGTTTCTCTAATATTAACCAGAAACACTGTTTGAACATGAATACAACAGTCATCATAGGGAGTTTGAGAACATTAATGGACTGCAACTTATTGAAAGAAAAGGGGACGGCATTTCGGCTTTTATATCGAAACGCCGTCCCCTTTTTTTTTCAACAGGCAGTTGGAGTCTATTAAAGTTCTCATGTCCACTCTACCTAAAGTTTCACTCAACCAGCAACAGTCAGTCACCATCTTTCTGGACTATTTCCTAAGCCACAGAACCTCACCGCCCCCATAGAAGTCTCTAACTTTTCCCCCGTCCGCTTAAATGTGCTACCACATATTAACTGATGTGTTTCGCAGTTTTTATATCCCTCGTAATATCCAGAAACTGACCTCAAACAAGTTCTCCTGTTGTGTTCAGGTTTTCCCTTGATACAAAACTGCAACTGTTTAGTTGATTTGTTTCCCATTCTGAGCAACTCCTACACTTGTTGCTCCAGCTGTTGAATCAATATAATATATCATGAACTGTTAAATCCACGAAACATTTCATAAACTGTTGAATCTACATAACATCTCATGAACTGTTGAATCCACATAACATCTCATGAACTGTTGAATCCACATAACATCTCATGAACTGTTGAATCCACATAACATCTCATGTTGAATCTACATAATATTTCATGAACTGTTGGATCTACATAACATCTCATGAACTGTTGGATCTACATAACATCTCATGGACTGTTGGATCTACACATCTTGTGAATTGTTGGATCTACACATCTCATGAACTGTTGAATTTACATAACATCTTACATAGACTGTTGAATCGACATATCATCTCATGAACTAGAAGTTTATATAATATAATTTTACAACAGCAATCAGTGAAGTGATATGTATTCATATGCGATAGTCTTATCGTGCTTAACTACTTTAATGAACTTAAAACAGTGTTGAATAATATATGTTTTACTTCTTATCCTGTTTTGAAGATACTCTTTTATCTCCATTTTACTAATCGAATCATCTTGAACTATGAAAGGTGCGAAATAAAAAAAGGTGTTTTTTAAAATCTCTTATTTTAATTTATTGAACACCTCTATGATTCTTTGCTGAAAATCGCACAAAGATACTCGAAAGCTATCTGTGCTAAAATGAAGTATGTTGTAGGTCAAACCACCGAAGACAACAAGAAGTTAACTACACACACACACACACATATATATACTAGCTGAGTTACCCGGCGTTGCACGGTGAAAACTTAGATTTGCAATGTATAGATCAGTATTTTTTTCAGCAAATTATTCAATAAGTAGACAAAAGCTGTGATGCGAGAAATAAAAAGCATTTAATCAAACAAAGCTTTATAATGTTCAATAATGTTTGACCTGAGAACTATTTACCCTGATGGGATAAATGAACGTTTTAGCTTTTTGTAATATTTCTCACTTTAGTTTTATCCTCTTTTAAAAGGTTTTATAAAGTAAATTATGTATCTATTTATTTTTAATCGTTATGTTCTTTCTTATAAGTTTTTCCATCAATCCTATATTTACTTTTACCAAACTCCAAGTACTAGATTTTCACTTATTTTAAAAACGTATATTGCATACATATATTCATAAATGTATGTGTTTGCGTGCGTACGCATGTGTGTATATATGTATTTCTATATACATTTGTATGTATATATAGTTGTATGTACGCTTGTATGTATATAACTTCCTATTGTTTCAAGCGTTTGTAAACATTGTTATACACGTATATTTGTTACATTGTCACGTCACGCAACCTTCGATTTAGAACGTTTTCGTTTACGTATTTACTGTTCAGTTAGTGATACTTGAAGAAGGGCATTCCTCGAAACGCTGTATCCCCAACAGTATATATGTATATATCTGTAGTTAACTCACTGGTGGTTTCATCTACAAAATACTTCCTTTTATCTCTTTTCATCAACCGCTCCGCGTACTTTCCTACACAGTTAACTACCTGTGTTATCCATCCTTGATTTTTATGTGATAGACTAGAGGAAAGGCAACTAATTAACAACATCCACCACCGATTCTGGGGGTAATTTTTACAAAGGAATAGTAAGATTGACCGTCACATTATAACGCCTCCAGGGCTGAAAGAGGCGAGCATGTTCGGTGATATGATTCGAACCCGCAACCCGCAGATTACGAGTCTGGTGTTCTAGACACCATCTGAGAGAAGAACAATCTAAAACGATCCTTGTTAACTATAGCAACAGTAAACTTCCTAAATTACAACCCTCAGATTCAATATTCCAGTTCCAAGTCATAACCTTTTCTCCAACTCTCATTGCTCCAAGTGAAGAGACATTTTGATGAATAGTAGAAGGCTGCCTCCTCACAGGCTTCTCCGGAGGCTGAAAGGGAAACAAACAAAAGGTGAGGCTACTAAGATCGTTATCTCATGTCGAATTCTGATTATAGCTGTAGATAAAAGAAACACTAACATTTTTAAACTGTCTTTAACCCCAATTAAATAATGATATCTAGTTTGTTCCACAAATCTTAAACTGTCTTTAACCACAAGTAAAGAATGATATCTAGTTTGTTCCACAAATGTTAAACTGTCTTTAACCACAACTAAAGAATGATATCTAGTTTGTTCCACAAAAGTTACACTGTCTTTAAGCACAATTACAGAATGATGTCTAGTTTGTTCCACAAATGTTAAACTGTCTTTAACCACAATTACAGAATGATATCTGGTTTGTTCCACAAATGTTAAACTGTCTTTAACCACAAGTAAAGAATGATATCTAGTTTGTTCCACAAATGTTAAACTTTCTTTAACCACAAGTAAAGAATGATATCTAGTTTGTTCCACAAATGTTAAACTTTC